ATATTAACTGACCATATTAATATTGATAGTTTATAATGTTAGTTTATTTGGGATTCCTACTCAGGATGGTTTGAGGAAAATAGGAACCCAGAAGATGGAGACGCGGGGAAGAGCAGATTAGAAGAATGGCAATTAAAAGCGGAAGGAAATCATAATCCATACGGCACGATAGACATTAAAATAAAAGCATCACTAGGAGGTCTTAGTCCATGTTTGAGACTATTCAATGTTAGTACCGCTACTTGCTTTGCATGAAGTTATGAATTTAATGTTTTATATTATTATCATATCGTTACATGCATTTTACATTGCCAAATTAATTGACGGAGGTTTTTGAAAAGACCTTGAGCAAATTTCCAACCTCAAAATTCACAATTCCATATTTCCATTGCATTTGATAACAAAATGCCAAGATCATGATGAGACATAATTAATGCCAACTGGGCAACATGCAGACGTAGTCAACCTTTCCATGAATGATGAAACAAGTCAAACAACCAAGATTACTCCTAAATGCAAATATTAACCTCGTCTAGTCTCTTAGTTTGTACGCAGATTCACTGCCGACAAGACAAGGAGATGGTCAAGATGGCAAATTGCTTTGCCGAACAATTCATGAAGTACTTTGTAGTCCATCGTACATGTTACTATGCTTTTAAAATAAAAATGATTAATTGTATATCGTTTATGAGAGAGTCAAATCATATTGAGATAAAACTGTATAAAATCTAAGAAAGACTTGGAGCTCTACTATACTCTATGGTCCTGCATTTGCATTTAATAATGAGTAAGAAATCAAAATTTAACGGCCATGGCATGCAAGTTGATGATCAAGTGGATCAAACCAGTGTTCAATGTACCAAGATTTATTGGAGCTCTACCGTTATCACATGGTTCTGCCTTTTTATTGAATGAGTTCACCTAATTTGGTTCTGACTTGGTCCTTTCTAATCAATGTGTAGCCTTCTTTGATATTATTTATATTCCTTCATTTGCTTCTACTGAAAGAAGTACTAATTATTATCCATTTCAGGAGACTTTGGTCTCCACATTTCATTTAGAAAACATGAAGAGGAAGAGCACACCACCTTGGATTCTTGCTCTGTATATGTTTGCTTCATTCGTCATTGTTTGCCACTCATCAGCACAGGCTGCTGCAGACAATGGTGATAATTCATCAGGCAAGCACTTCGCCAGCTTTTCAATTTTCTTTTCACTTACATGCAATTTCGTTCAATGTGTGTGTGTGTGTGTTTTATGATGCTCGCTCGACTTAAGTCTTGATTAGTTGGTTTTGTTCCATTCTTTATGTAAGCCTCAAACACTCTAAGCCTTTGCGGAAAAGCTTCTGTATAATTCTTGGTACTAATGATGAAACCATCGTCGTGAAGAGCCATGTGCAGAGATTTACCAGTATCTTGAATCTTAGTGAAGTTTGAGCTTGAGAGAAGAGAGAAATACAACAAAGATCCGTAATAGTTCTGTCCAAATCACTTAACCTACATCTGCCGCCTAAGATTGCCACTTAGAATTTCAACTAATCTCCAAATATAGTCAATTCTCAATTATACTAAAGATATATTTGAATATGAGTTCGAAAATGTTGAAAAAAATAACCTCTTAAAGTTTTCAAACAAATTATACAACATAAAGAAGCTTATTCCAAGTTCGCATTAATATAGTCAATATTAACAGAAGAGTCATTAAACCAAGTAACTGGAGCCTATTAACTTAATTAAAGTGAAGTCCAAGTAATTTACCCCACCGCAGTTCATGACTTCACTTAACTAACCAGTCTTCTTATTGTCTCATCTTAAAGGCTGAATATCAGGCTTTAACCAATACCGCCAAATTCAATGGCTTCTTTATTTGCTTTCTGATTTGCATGGGACACATCCTCAACCGGCTTGCTCTACTATGATTACCAATCTGCCTTAAAGACTGCAGCCAATCCCACTTTTCATGAAATATTTAGATTGATTGCAATCTAATGAAGGATAAAGTTCTAGCCATCCACTTGATGCCTCTTTCGTCTGCTGCACCATTAGCTGATATGTCTACCAAGCAGTTGGCTCTATCCCTTTCACAATAAATGTTTCCCTGACTGAGGGGTAACAGGTTATTTAGTTTATTAACGTTTTATGCCAGTTAGTTACTCAGTTCACAATAAAGTATTGACTCAGCTTGTAAAGTACTCAACTTGAGCAATAATAATACTAAAATTTGCTTCATGTGCAGATATGATAAGCATAGATTGTGGAGCAAGCACGGATTATGTGGATGAAACAACAGGGATTTGGTATCAAGCAGACAAAGACTTCATAGAAACTGGAATCAGTAATGGAATCTCGCCGGCTCTCAAATACCAATTCGACAAAGCATACAAAGGACGACAGCTTGAAATGGTACGAAGCTTTCCGGAGGGAGACAGAAACTGTTACACTCTAAAACCAAAGCAACGCCAAAACAAAGATAACAACAACTACAATTATCTTATTAGAGCTGTGTTTGCATATGGCAATTATGACAACAAAAACCAACCTCCTTCCTTTGACCTTTACTTTGGTTCTAACTTTTGGGACACTGTTCGAGTCCCTAATGGAAGTTTCTGCCAATACTACGAGATTATACATCCTCCTATCGACATAATACAAGTGTGCCTTGTTAACACTGGACAAGGCATTCCTTTTATTTCTGCTTTGGAGTTGAGGCCCTTGAATCACACTCTCTATTCCATTTCTCTTCCCCTGTCTCTTCAGGTCCGCATTGACGTTGGCACTGGCCGCGTCCCAATTCTTACCAGGTAATATTCTTTCCCTTTTGCTACATATATTGCTGAGACTAAATTTAAACATAACCCCCTCGAACTTTTGTATCTATTGATGTTTATGATGGAAATTTAATAGTATGGGATATTAAGTTACATTACGTAATATGTGGTAACTAATGCTTCAAGTTATTTTAGAATTATTTAATTAATTATTTGTAGAATAAGTCAAAAGAGTCCCATCTAAATTGGCTTGCTTCCTAAGTCAAAAGTGTCTTATCTAACAGTGGCTGCCTCCCTAAGTCAAATTTTCTTATTTCCCAAGTTAGTACACCTATATAAAAGCATCACTGTAGTTAATAAAAAGTGTGATCTTTCTGCCTTATGAATTGAACTATTTATTGTTTATGATTCCTCTTTCTCCAACAGTTTAAGTGGACTAGTTCTCTCTCTCTCCCCTTAACAGCTAACTTTTAGGATAAGATCATCCATCCCACTTAGGTACCCTTGATATGAGAGCTAACAAACAAGTTAATAGCAATTGTCTCTTGTAATTGCAGAGATAATAACTGTTACTCATAACACAGGTATCAAGACGATGTGTACGATCGAGTGTGGCTGTTGTATGATTTTGACACATATTATCGTTTAAACACGTCAGCAGAAATAAGAGCACAAGATTCCAGTTATAAGCTGTCATCAGAATTATTAAGCACAGCAGCACAGCCGCGTAATAGTTCCATCCCCTTAGCATTGAATTGGATTTATGATGCATCTTTCCAATATTACGTGCTCCTCCACTTCGCCGAAATTCAAAAGCTTCCCCCTCATCACAGAAGAATTATCAATGTCACTTTTGATGATATAAACTTCATCTCTCAGCCTCTTGAATACTTGAAGCCTGTCACTCTAAGTTCCAAGATGGCAAGTAATAACGGTAATGTCCGTTTCACAATCAGGGCAGCTTCTGAATCTGACGCTCCTCCCATCCTCAATGCCTTTGAAATATACAGATACACCCCACTGCCAAATTCACCAACAAATGCAGAAGATGGTAAAGCCTAATGCTTATAAATTTGTAATTAGGTGTGTTTATGGAAATTTCTCAACAGGGTTGTTTTGTTTCTTATTGGAAATTGTATACACAGTTAATGCTATCATGGAAATCAAACGTACATATGGAATTTCTAGAATCACTTGGCAAGGTGACCCATGTATTCCATCTAACTTACGATGGGAAGGTTTGGGTTGCAGTGCTGACAACAATTCAAGGATCATTTCATTGTAAGTAGTACTGTATTGCTGCTCTATTTATGATTTTTTAATTTGAAACAAATTCATGGTTATAAATTAAGATATCTGATTTGATGGTGTATGTGTTAAAAATTCCTCAGGTTTCTCTTCCTTATTTGATTTGTTTTGGTGACAAAATCGTAGGAACCTAAGCTTAAGCAAATTGACAGGACAGATAGCTCCTTCATTTGCCAATCTGCAGAACTTGGAGTCCTTGTAAGTTTTTAACAGGGGACAGATCCTAACATTCAACTCTTTTTTTCTTATCATTATTAAATATTTTGGTATTAACATTAGTGTCTTTTTTTTTTCTTTGGTAGAGATTTGTCAAATAATGAATTGATCGGACAACTGCCAGAATTTCTTGCTGATCTTCCTAATTTGAAAGTCCTGTGAGACCTCAATATACATCTTAATTTTCATGCTCTTATATGTGAAGTAAAGTATCTCAAAAACAAAATTCATGTTTCAGTAATTTGACTGGAAACAAGCTCACAGGTTCAATTCCAAAGGCTTTGAGGGAAAAGGCTGATCTGCAGCTAAGGTGTGCTTGCCTTCAATACCAAATTCAGATTCTGGTTTACTCAGTCTGTCAATCTTGCATTATATTTGCTTATAACATTTTTTTCGGGGAAAAATGGTTAAGTAGTTCTCTTTAATTTTGTCTGTGAATAATATTCTTGTGTTCATGTACACCCTCATGATTGGTTGTTGTTGTTGTACGTACACCCTCATGACTCCCCAGTTTTAGCTGCGATATCTGTGAAAACGCAGTGTACATGTCATTACTTCTCTTCATTTGCTCAAAACTCTCTAATGTTGTCTTCTTATTTTAACAGTGTATCCAGCAATCCAGGCCTCTGTCAGAAAAATTCATGCAAAGAACACAAGTTTGTAATTCCTCTTATTGCATCAATTGCAGTTTTGGTCCTAATTATCATTCTTTCTTTGATAATTTGGAGACTCAGAAAGAAAAGACAAGGTATATATAACACGAATGTTTCCTGAATATTTGCATATAGTAGTTACAAGCACAGATGTGTTTTGCAATTGTAACATCGCTGAGATGAGAAGTTAGAAACCTTTCATCCATGCTTGTTCTATCTCACGTTGAATAACCATTGAGACATAGGATGGTACTTGCGCAGTAAATTTTTGATACACTTCTATCTCACATTTAATATAATGATGCAGTTTTGTCAATCAAATCCCAAAAGATGGGAATTCTAAAACAAAGTAGTCGAGAATTTTCTTACTTACAAGTTCTCCGCATCACCAACAATTTCAAAACTATCATCGGAGAAGGAGGATTTGGGAAAGTTTATCTTGGCACTTTAGAAGATGATACTCAAGTTGCAGTAAAATTACTTTCTCCATCATCAAAGCAAGGGTACAAGGAATTTGAATCAGAGGTTAGACATGAAATTCCAATGTTTTCAAATATATGCAAATTGAGTGGCCAACTATTATATTATTCGTTTATGATCATGGAGCCTTTTAACTTGTAGGTTCAACTCTTAGCGGTTATTCATCACAGAAATTTGGTTTCGCTCGTTGGATATTGTCATGAAAATGACATAAAAGCATTGATTTATGAATACATGGATAATGGGGACCTCGGCCAACTATTATCGGGTTTGTCTTACATAGAAAACCCTGTGGCATCACTGATGGTGTGACTTTAGTCTGTTTTTCATGCATTAAACACATTTATATAGATAATGTGATCTCATTAATAGATAATAAAGGCAAGATAGTAAATACTGCAACTCAAATCACTCACTTACTTTGCTATGGTTAAATCTGGCCGGTCAAACACTTTAAATTGCTTCATAATTATATATATACATGCTTTTTGATCCTGAAGCACCTTGCTCAGAGGCAAATTTATATTTGCAGAGAAAAACTCAAATGTTTTGAAGTGGAATGAGAGACTTCAAGTCGCAAATGATGCAGCAAAAGGTGACCAAACTACCATATGTTGATCTTTTCTCTACTAACAGGCTTTATTATATTTACCTCTTTCTTATATAGTCCAGTGGGGTTGCAGGATTGGAATATCTTCATAATGGTTGTAAGAATCCTATAATTCATAGAGACTTGAAGCCATCCAACATTTTATTGAACAAATATAAGCTAGCCAAGATTGCTGATTTTGGACTGTCTAGAGCATTCACAAATGAAAGAGACTCACATCTATCAACTCAACCTGCTGGTACACCTGGTTACATTGATCCAGAGTAAGTGTTTGTCATCTAAATGAAAAAATCTAAGAAAATTTGTCCAAAAAAGAAAAAAACTACGGACAACGTAATATTTGGTTTCAATTCATTAATTAAAAAATTTTTAAACCCTACCTGTTATAATAACCAAAAAAAATCCGTTTGACCTAATTACATGTTATCCTTGCAGATTTCAGAGATCTGGAAACCTAAATAAGAAAAGTGATATTTATAGTTTTGGGATGATTCTCCTTCAACTGATAACTGGTCATCCTCCAATAAAGAAAGGACCTGAGAATGTTAGTTTCATTCTTGATTGGGTTCATCCGAAAATTGAATGTGGGGATATTGAGGGCATTGTTGATCCAACATTAGCTGGAGAATTTGGTGTTACATCAGCATGGAAAGCTGTTGAAGTAGCCATGGCATGTATCTTACCAACTCCAACCCTAAGGCCAGAAATAAGTTACGTATTGCAAGAACTACAAGAATGTTTAGCTATGGAGATGGACCATCCAAGGACGAATAGCACCACAAGTGATTCCCTCCATTATACTGTGAACTGTGAATCAGTGACTACTCTCTCTGCTAGGTAGCCACAAGTATCTCACTTCTGTTTCTGCTAAACAAGACTAAGCTTTTTGTGCTTGTACGTTTTAAGGATCATTTTATATAAATCCGTCTCATGTTTACATGAGTATGGTGAAAGAATAATTTGTTCTTTGTTACAGGTCTTTGAAGGCTTTAACCCAATATTGAGTCTCACTTGATAACATTATTGAAGGAAGCAACAAATAAAAAGCGGAATGATTAAAAAATATATTATTAAATATAGAAGTTGAGTATACCTGTCAGGAAAACCAAGGAAAATGTTCAAATTATGGATGCATTGCAAGAAGATAATTCAAAAGCAGAACAGAAAAAAGTAAAGGTTGAAACTTAAAGGATTCAAATGAGATGCTGGCCTCTCATAATAAATAATTAGATATGCTATCTGTCAATAGATATATGCATATATTAATAATAAATGCACAAGAAGATGTACCTAACTCCAATCGACCTAAATTTCCCTTCGACATAGACAGATTGCTGGGTCCAAAGCGTCTCAGAACGAGAAGAACATATTAGTGTCCTTCACTAATTGCAAAACGCGTCATGTCTAGCTTTGACCAAACCGATTTATTTTTTTTGCCAACCAAACCGAAAAAGTTACCCTTATATATTCCCTCAAAAGTCATCTCCTATATATATATATATATATATATATATATTTTTTTTACTTTTGCAATCCATTATTACTAATTAGTACTTACTATTTAACAGAGCTCTGTTGCCCAAAACTTACCCCTAAAGGTGGGTACTGTGTTCAAATGCTGTGGGGCCAAAACTAGCTTTCAAGAGAGTAAATATCAGTTCATGCAGTAGCAGTGATATGAAATTGAAATAAAATTAAAGAGGCCCATGCTATATGTCCCATCTGGCATCTTTAAAGTTCATTAGCAGTAAATGCTGATGGTAACATATAACCAACTTCTTTTGTTAAGGACTCTGGAAGGTTTAAGCTTAACCAGACATATAAAGTTTGGTTCTTTGGCTAAGTCCCTTTCTGGCTTGTGAATCTGGTAATGGTCATCAAGATGGAAAGGGAATATCGTAAACTAGACCCAAAAAAAAAAAAGGTTGTGTTTAAATATAGCCACAAGCTAAAGCTATATAACAAGACAGTTAGATCGAGGAAGTTGATTCAGACAACTTCTATATTCATCAAGTTGATATGAATGGGAGAGTATACTTCTAAGATCGACATATTAAAAAAAAAAAATTACAGTCTCCAACAAAGCGAATAAAAAATTCTTTCCGGATAGGAATAAGGAATACATGTATTCACCTTTCTTTTGCAGGAAATCCAAAGACATCCTCCGTGGTAGTATTGGTTCTTATATTTTTCTTCTAAACAGGAAGTTCATAACTTCATAACAAAAATAATATGAGCAATTAAATTTTATTAACTTTTTTTAATATGGTTAACTTTATTGTACTTGCCACTCCTCTGATCTCCATAAATGTCATTTGGCTTTCTCCACCTTTGATAAATATTGCAAAAGTCTTCTCTGCCATTTACATTTTGTCGATTTCCTGTGTAAGCTTATGAGACTGATTGGATTTAAACTTCAAACTATAAATTCATTCTTAAAATGATAATTAAGACACCTAACTAATTTATTTTGAGAAAAAATACATTTTACATAAGTAGTTATTAATTGATAAAAAATACTAGTCCTAAATATAAGATTTACTTTATAGTATAATTTACACTACAAAGTGCATATTATATTTTTTACAGAAGGTAGTAAAAAAATTTTATAGAGGGGATTTTCTTACTATATAAGTAATTTATTTGAATATTAATGATGATTCGAGATTCAATTAGATCATTTAAAAAAATAGGTGTCACTAGATATGTTCATGCCAACTTGTCACTCCTCACCAGTAGTCAACTTCTGCGTGCAACAACCGAAATAAATCCTGCACATGCAAGCTCAGTGATGACCAAGTCCAAGGTTACAATGCCAGCTTTTACACTCGAAATATTCAACTACTCAGCTTCACCATAGTAAATGAACGGACTAAATTAAGCCGTAAAGTTGATTTCTTTGTGTTAAAAAGGATAGATACGAGCAATAATGACCATATAGTATCAGAAATAGGATGGAAGAATACACCATAGGCAAGGAATAGAACTGAATAGAATTCGTTCACCATTAATGCAGACATGACTGTTTGATGAAGCATTTAATGGACGTTCTCAACTCCCATCTTCCCCACTTCAATTATGGTCTCTTTCAGCTGCCATATAAGGATCTATTACCCAGTTAAGACCCTCCATTGAAGCTCCTTGCTAGCAAAGAGAAAACTGGGAAGATGAAGACCAGTCATAGAGAAACACTTATTCTGATCTTAGCATTTTTCTTCCTAACAAGAGGGAATGCACAAGATACACTTGTGCCTGCTATCATAACCTTTGGTGATTCTGCAGTTGATGTGGGAAATAATGACTATTTGCCCACTCTTTTTAAGGCAGATTACCCTCCCTATGGAAGAGATTTTGTCAACCATCAACCCACTGGAAGGTTTTGCAATGGAAAATTAGCTACTGATATTACCGGTAAGTGCAAAGCATCAACCTTGGAATTTTATTCACGGATCCATTTGTTTCCTTGAAAAATTTTTCCCATGGAAAAATTTGCTGTTAAATGCTTTCCTGCTAGTTTTTGTCGAAAACATATTCTCCCTGAACCTAAACTTTACTACGCGTTTTGAAAGGGGGAAATTCTTTATAAGGAAGTTTGTTATCGTTACTGTCATTTACCATGAGAGTCAACATCATCGTCAAAGCTCACCATGAGCTAATGTCTAGGTCCAGTAAAAAAATTTTATAATGAAAAAGCATTCAGGTGGCAAAAAAAAAAATACGAAAGTGAAGAGAAAGCTTGATCATTGTTGAGATTTTTCCTTTTTTGCAGCTGAAACTCTGGGATTCAAGAGCTATCCACCTGCATATCTTAGCCCACAGGCGTCAGGGAAGAATCTTCTTTTGGGAGCAAATTTTGCTTCAGCTGCCTCTGGTTATGATGAGAAAGCTGCTATTTTGAATGTAAGTTTTGAACCGGAAAATTTTGAATATGGCTTAAGAAAAAGCATGTTCACTCATTTTTTTGTTCTTGCAGCATGCAATCCCATTGTCTCAACAATTAAACTACTTCAAGGAATACCAAAGCAAGCTGAACAAAGTTGCTGGAAATCAAAAGGCAGCATCAATTATAAAGGGTGCATTGTACTTATTGAGTGCTGGAAGCAGTGACTTTGTTCAAAATTACTATGTCAATCCTTGGATCAACAAAGCCTTCACTCCAGATCAGTATGGTTCATACCTTTTGGGATCATTTCAAGCTTCATCAAGGTATTTTGGTTATTTTTTCTCCACATACACCAGAACAAATTATTTGGACAGATTAAAGGCATAAGCAGACTTGCATATATATGATTCGATAACAAAATTCTCAAATAGAACAGATCCATCATTATGCATTGTTTGTAGTTCTCTTTGCAACTAATCTGTGACATACTTGTGTATAATTTTATTGATCTTATTGTTTCTAGAAGGATTCTGCCTAGAATCTCTCTGATTCTCTGCTCTGTTTGAAACATAGGACTTGTATGGATTGGGAGCTAGGAAAATTGGAGTGACCTCACTCCCTCCATTGGGTTGCTTACCTGCTGCAAGAACTCTGTTTGGATATCATGAGAATGGATGTGTCTCAAGGATAAATACAGATGCACAAGCATTTAACAAAAAGATCAGCTCTGCCGCAGCAAATCTCCAAAAGCAGCTTCCTGGTCTCAAGATAGTTATCTTTGATATTTTCAAGCCTCTCAATGACCTTGTCCAGTCACCTTCAAAATACGGTATACATAACAGCTACACCAAGAATAAAAACTAACCACAAAAATCTTTTTCTCCTTTCTCTGAAAAAAAAAATATGATGAAAATTATCTGATTTTTCTGTTTACACTTGTGATACTGGCAGGTTTTGTGGAGGCAAGAAGAGGTTGCTGCGGGACTGGAACTGTAGAGACAACATCATTATTGTGCAATCCAAAATCACCAGGGACTTGTTCTAATGCTACCCAGTATGTGTTTTGGGACAGCGTTCATCCTTCTCAAGCTGCTAACCAGGTTCTAGCCGATGCCCTAATTGTTCAAGGCATAGCCCTCATCTCATAAGCACTTATTAGTGACTACCTTGATCTCTATAAGACTTACTTGCACACCACTATTTCTCATGAAAGTGAAGCAGACAGTTATGTAATTTATTTATTATATTGTCTTAATGTTTCTGATAAATGTACTCATTTGGAGGCTCCTTCTGTTATGAAGCCATAAAGGGCACGACTTGTTACATTGCAAGAGATTGTGAGCAGTTCTAAAAGCAGATTGCAATTTATGTTCTGATTTTTATTTCACATTTAAGAAATAAGAATTTCTATACATTATCTCCAAAGAGATGGTTCTTTCTTGTACTGTTTTTCCCCCTCAATCTAGTAGCTTATACCATCAGAAAACAGAAGAAAAAATTGCTGATTAAAAACGAAAATTGCAATCGCAGTTTGCTTTCTTTCGACAAGAATAACTAATAGAAATAAACAGACGTTTTTCACTTGCTCATTAATAATTATTGACCAAAGAAATGAAAAGAAGAAACAATCTTCCCAGGGAATCACAAGCGTAATATAAACACAAATGTTCATTTGAGTTTTGGATAATACTGATCAATCGGAGTAGGGAATTATAGTAAGGTCTTGAGGCCAGCCGGCATATATGCCTCTGCAACGACTTCTTCCATGACTCTTCACCGTAAACTGAAGAGAACAATTAATCACACGCAAATTTCCAATCGTGCCACTTTTTTTGGGTCAAGTACCATCAGTTTTCTCCATTGTAAATTTAACAGTTTTTTTTAATGCTTTCCTTACGAAACGAAATGGCCTTCCACGTTTCAATGAGATGAAAGCAGATAGGGCTCTCTTCCCTTTTTTTTTTTTTGGGGGGGGGGGGGGGAGGGGAACAGAATTTTATGCTCAAAAAGGGAGCTTATTATTTCCTCTGAACTCCCAGATTAATATTGGTATATAATGATGCATGGTAACCCATGATTGAGAGTACACTCTTATTTATAAGACCGTTAGCCTCTGAATAGATCCTAACGGCCCATATGATACATGAGCATTTACTTCTGTATACCCTGTTAATCCAAAATCTTCACTTGATGACGAGGTGTTTGAAAAATGAAAAAGGGACCTGCTATACTTTTGTAAGTTAAAATGAACTATAGATATGATGCTGATCTCTTATGCAACTTGTCCGGGGCACTAACACCAGGGCCTTTTAAAGCTTCCGCATACTTCACCAACTCGGCTTTCGCTGTGTCTAAGGAATCTGGCAAAGAGCCAAGTCGGTTTTTTAAATCTCCCAAACCTAACTTGCTATGAATGAATCTCTCTGATCCTCCTACTTCAATGCTATTCCTCATTTTCCCCTTTTTCTCCTTTAACTTTGTCGCCCCATGCGAATCAAAGGAAGTTCTAGATGTCCAAGTGGGAGTTGCAAATTCATTCCAGTGACCTACAGCTCCAGCATCATTTTCTGTTACAATGCTGGGACTAAAATGTGAAAATTCGCTACCTTCTTGATGATGATCGTGGCCATGTTTGCCTCGTAGCAACCGTCTAAGCTTTCTGAAAATTTTAGCCTTGCTTGAGGTGTTAGTTTTGGCAGCAGATGAATCATCAACAGAAGAATTATCATCACACTCTGCAGAGTCTGTGAGAAAAGAAGCCAGGGAGAGGAAGGACCACCGATCTGAATCATAGTCTATCATGGGAACTCCTCCTTCCCCTATGCCATCAGTAGTCGCATATTCAAATATAAGCTGCTTGGCTTTCTTCTCAGACGCAGGGCTCAAGGTTTTGCTCAGATCCCTTGCTACCGTTTTACCAGGTGGAGGTTGATAATTCCGCAGTTCATATCTTAGACAGGCATTTATCCACCGCAGATACACCAACTCCTCAACATCTAAACACCGATCAGCTTGTAGTCGCTCAGTTTCCTTCATTAAGTCCTCATTCTGTTGTCTAAGACGGTCATTTTCTTCCTTCAAAGCATCTACCTGCATCCAAAAGTATATATGACTGTCAGGTAAAACTACATTCCACGATAACTAAAGGATGTAGGTCGACCATAATCTTATTACCTCAGGTTTTTCCAGAACAGAATTCGCAAGGATCTGAGTAGAATCCAATCTCTGAGCCAATTCAGAATTTTCAATCTGCAATCTCAAATTAGATTTCCTCAACTCTTCTGCCTCAGACTCCAGATCCTTTAGTTTTTGCAGTTTTTCTTGAACACCTTGATCACTAGCAGCAACTTCTCTTTCTTGCTCTTGCAACTTAGCAACTCTTTTTTGAAGGGCTAAGATCTGTTCCCTATTCTGTTCAGCTTCGAGCCTAAGTTTCTTCTGGAGCAGTTGGACTTTGGCTTTTGCAGCCTCAAGCTCAGCCTCCACTTTAGCATGATTAGCCACTTGAGCCTCCAATGCCAGGTTCTCAGACTGCAATGTCTCAACCTTTAGATTTAACATCTTCATCTCTGTAATGGTTATCTTCAATCGATTTTGGAGCTCCATCGCAGCTTTTTCTTGCTCTCTCAGACCACAGTACTCAAGCAGTTGAACCTCAAGATCTTTTTCCCTCTCCTGAAGCATTTCAATTTTGCTCCTGAGACGCAGGATCTCTTCCTCATAGTCATCCTTTTGTGGAATTACGTGTGCTTTAGGAGATTCTACCATTGATCTTGGTGTTTCTTCATCTTTCTTATAAGAATCTCCAACAAGAGTGACTCCAAAGTCTAACTCCTTCTCAAGATCATTAAACTCAGGTAAGAGGAATTCATCTTCTTCACCACTTCTTTTACAGCTTGGAGAGAGACCAGATGGGGAATTCTCAACCATCACTTTACTGACGCACGTTTCTTCTTGCTGCATAGATATTTGTCATTATGTCCTTGTTTTAGTTAAGTAGTGATGCACAAAATTCCAGTTCTAAATGCATGGAATAACTGGAATTACTCATTTCTCTAAAGTTTTGTAGGGAAGTTTTTGTATGAATGCTGCTTTCTTTGGCAATAAAATTTTATTGACAAATGTATACGTGTCATAGCAGTTTATAGCCATTTTCAATATTTTTTCTGCAGATGATAAAAATTGTCACCAAGGAAAAAATTCGCAGACAAAATGATTGAAACAGAGGGCGTTCCGGTTGGAAATAAATTGGCAGTAAGAAAAATACCCCTAGCTTCCTACACAAGTTTCTTTTCACAGCTCCTGAAAGATTTCTATATAACTGATATGAAAAAGATGTCGCCAAAAACTTCAGAACAGTTGACGAGTATTTCCATTTTGAATATGAAATCAAGGGGAAATCAACGGAAAAGATTATTTTCTAAAATTGGAAATGGCTTGAATTCCTACTAATCATGCAGAAGATGAGCCAATTGTTTGGTATCTGGAAAGAAGTTCACCTGTCTATCAATAATTCAATATCAATACCAAAAGTAAAGTTCAGCAAACATTCTGGAGTATTTTCTATTACTCACAGTATCCAGAATATTTCCATCCGAAACAGTGAAGCAAGGGATAGATGCTGCCTTTATAACATGAAGACCATCTTCGCATTGATCTCTACCACCTAAAAATATGTGTTCATCATTCAAATCAAATCCAGGAGGGAGAGGAAAAGAGACAGGAATATTGAAGTTTAGAGGGGAGAAAAAACAAACAAACCTGAAGGGCGGCTTGAGGGTGGAGTAGTAGAGGGCTCCATTCTTCTTGTTCTTAGGCGAGAGAAGAGAAATCCAGCAACTGAAAAAACTAAAGCCACGCCAACTTTCAGTAGAATTGGATTTATATCTGTCTTCCCTCTCACCGTCATATTCAAGAATCCTTGGTTGTTTTATTCGTCAAGACAGAAGGAGAGATCATGGATCGTCATCATCACCATCCTCCATCATCTCAATCCCATGAAAAGAACCTGCGAATGAGACATATTTCTGGTTTATACCAAGAAACACAACATGAGAGCCAAGGAAAACCTGCACAATAACTTGGAATATCCTACACCTCCGAGTCTAGAAACTGCAGCCTTTCAAATAACAAGAAAATTGACTCGAAAGTTTAAAAATAGCAGCTCAAGATGGATTCTAAATAAGACATTACACAGACCAAAAAAGTATGGGAAAAGAACGTAATTAATCAACCACACACACAAGCAAGAATCAGTTCAGATTATTCAGAACAACAGTAAGGAAGATGAAATACCCCAAACCTACGAAAAAATATCCATAACTAGTGTACAAAAAGGCTATAAGAAGAAATTTTGCCATATAAAGAACCATTTTCGAATGCCTTGGCTTCAATCATGAACTGTTTCTACCGGAAAGGGATCGAAGGGGTCAGAAAAATTAAAGTAGGGAAAAAGCACATGATCAATCATCAATGAAACTAGGGGGATCGCCAGAAAAAAAAAAAGAAAAAGAAAAAGAAATAAGCAAAAAGCAACTCATATCATTCAAAACTAGAGCAAGGAAAATAAATACCTGAAAACCCAACCCAGGTCTGCATCAAAAAAAGCAATAACAGAGCTTCTATTTCACCTTCCACTGAGAAAAGATAGAAGTTTTATATTTGTACGACACGTATCGAGCACTTCGGCTTAAATTGAGAAAGCTCAGAACTACCAGGTCAGATTGATCATCTCAGAGAGATTAAATAGACTACAGAAGAGATTAAGAAGAGAAACGCACATGATCGAACACCAACAAAACTCAGGGGATCATTAAAACACATAAAAGAAACAAGCAAGAATAATTCATACCATTCAAAACCAGAGTAATGAAGACAAATACCTAAAAACCAACCCAGACTGACATCAAAAAGAAGCAAAGACAGTATAGAGAACCAAAGTTTTACCTTTATATGATCGTGATCAAAGAGCTAAACTGCAATTCAATAAGCTAGCTGAAGGAGGTGACGTTTCGCTATTTTTTGAGAGTAACAGTCCTAATTCTGAAACTTACAATTGCGTGCATCTGTTTGTCACTCTCATGAGGCATGAGAACAATCGGGTACCGACGCAACCTTATAAAAGGTAATGTCTTTACCTACAAACATTGGCCACAAATTTTGTCCCCATGTAATGCTGACTGCAACGTGGAAAATGGGGGTCGTCGTCAGAGTGATAATTTGTGAAGAAATTGTTACGTCAGAGGAGAGAGAAACTAAAGATTCTGGCTTGAAACTTGGCAACTAGCGAGAGAGAGAACTGCAGAACGCCGTGTCCCAACATCTGTTATGGCACTAACAATTAACAATAGTGTCGACCTTAATTAAGCGCTCTTTCGGTTCAGTCAGTGTTCCCTCCATTAAGAACCTTTTTTAGCAGGCATGAAAATATTAATCCAGAAATTGTTAATTTACTTACCATCTGTTTTGAAGCTAACAACATTAACGTTTTCCCCCGACATTAAGAGCAGGAACTCATGAAGTTACAAGCGAGGTGTAGCCTACAACCTCCTATTATACAGATCTTTTATGTCATTAAAAGCAACATTGTTTAACATTATCCAAAGAACGAGGCAGAATGTGCAAAACGAGTAAAATTAAGAATAAGAAACTTTCCGCGGTGCTTAATTGTATCATAAGGCAATTATAAAGCACCCCAATTTGCTGTAATGTTTGAGAACACACATACTACGCAACCACAAGTCAGAATCTCTAATTGAAACATTAAATGGGAAGCTTCCTTTAACCCCCAAAAGAAAAAATAAAAACAGGAATGAAAGACCTAAAATGATGAAGCTTCCCTTGCTCCACTTGTTTTAGTTTCAGTCACAAAATATTAGCAGATGAAGGAAGCTGGACAGCCTTAAACCCATGCGCTAACTCTACCTACTCTTCCTCGTCTGTCTTCCAATAATTCCTCCTATGTGCAAGTTTTTTATTAGCAAAATGGTAGTTGCAATAATTTGGTTTAAATTTCAAGTCTTTAATCTTCACATAGATATGAATACAGTAACAATTTTGTTTAAAGGTCCTTTTGGCATAGGGAAAATAGAAAAAAGGGAAGGAAAAAAATGTTAATTACCACATTTTAAAAAATTAAAGAAGTGGAATTAAAAGCTTTAAATTAATTTATATTACTCTTTTATCTTACAACTTCACTTTATTAAAATTTTAAAACCCTACTTTTCAAATTTTTTAAATCGAACTCAATAAAGATTTTTTTCTTCTTCTCTCTCCTCCATTTCCCTCCTATCAAACAAACATAGGATAAGAGAACTTCAGCCGGCCGACAAATGGAAATCGGTTGGTTATTATATGGTGAGTTTCATTTTTTGCCTTTGTACACAACAAACTTTTCAGGGCAGCATTGTGTTGTTTCAAAAATAATATTATCTCCCTAATATAAAAATTAATTTGAGTTTTAATTTGATCCTAAATACAAAATATCAATCCACTTTATCTTTAATATTTATTTATTTTGCCCTCAAATAATTTCTATAGTAGTTGCATATATTAAAGGGAAAATTATGTACAGGTCCCACAGAAGGTAATTTATTACTCTGAGGTCCCACGAAATGTCAAAATCACTGACTGGTCGCAAGGGACCTCAGAGTAATATTTTCGATTTGTAAAATGACATTACTGACCCTCATATTCCAGATTCACATTTTCTCTGTCATTGCGATTTACAACCTCAGCAGCGACTATTAACAACCCAATGAGAGGGCATTAACAACCTAAGCAGTATCCATTAACAACTTACTTTATAGAATCATATAACCTCCATATAAGTGTAAATTATAACCAAATAGTATAATACAACAACTTTAACACTAAAACGGGAAGCTTTTTGATATCATTAAGAATTTTAACTACACCCAATAGGATTATAGCAACATTTTAATGCGAAGATCCATTTACAACCTCAATGGTGAGTATTAATAACCCAGAGAGAGCTGTTGACAATCTAGGCAGTATCTGTTAACAACTGACTTTATAGGATAATATAACCTCTAACAACTATATAAGATTAACTTTAAGACTATTTAGTTATAATTTAGTTAGTTATAGTTAGAAGTTATATTATCCGATAAAGTTAGTTGTTAACAGACACTGCTAAGGTTGTTAACAGTTCTCCTTAGGTTATTAATACTTACTGTTGAAGTTGTAAATGGATTTTCACATTAAAATGTTGCTATAATCCTATTGGGTTTAGTTAAAATTCTTAATGATATCAAAAAGCTTCCCATTTTAGTGTTAAAGTTGTTGTATTCTACTATTTGGTTATAATTTACTATTATGTGGAGGTTATATGATTCTATAAAGTAAGTTGTTAAAGGATACTCCTAGGGTTGTTAACGCCCTTTCATTGGGTTGTTAATAGTCGCTGCTGAGGTTGTAAATGGATCTTCGCATTAAAATGTTGCTATAATCCTATTGTGTTTAGTTAAAATTCTTAATGATATCAAAAAGCTTCCCATTTTAGTGTTAAAGTTATTGTATTATACTATTTGGTTATAATTTACTATTATGTGGAGGTTATATGATTCTATAAAGTAAGTTGTTAAAGGATACTCCTAGGTTGTTAACACCCTCTCATTGGGTTGTTAATAGTCGCTGCTAAGGTTGTAAATGGATATTCGCATTAAAATGTTGCTATAATCCTATTGGGTGTAGTTAAAATTCTTAATGATATCAAAAAAGCTTCCCATTTTAGTGTTAAAGTTGTTATATTATACTATTTGGTTATAATTTACACTTATATGGAGGTTATATGATTCTATAAAGTAAGTTGTTAACGGATACTGCTTAGGTTGTTAATGCCCTCTCATTGGGTTGTTAATAGTCATTGCTGAGGTTGTAAATCGCAATGACAGAGTAAATGTGAATCTGGAATATGAGGGGCAGTAATGTCATTTTACAAATCGAAAATATTACTCTGAGGTCCCTTGAGACCTGTCAGTGATTTTGACATTTTGTGGGACCTCAGAGTAATAAATTACCTTCTGTGGGACCTGTACGTAATTTTCCCTATATTAAATTGTTACTATCAATTTATAATTCAAACATATACAAATAATAAGAATACTTTAGAAAAGATAACATCTATTTATTACAAATAAGTAACTTAATTAATTTTTTTAATCTCTCAAAATTAATCAATTAAGTTTTATATTAAGGACCAAAGGTGGTAATATGATTTAACATAATTTATTGATTTAAAAATAAATAAAATTGGAAAACAAACAGAAATAGGAATAGGATTTTTGAATAATAAAATGAACGGTTTTTCATTGGTGTTTCAAATCCCATGTAACACTTAGGATTATTATCTAGTCTTTTTTTTTTTAATAACAAACAGTAGAATTTATTGATCTAGATTGCCTTCTTTTTTTTTTCTATGGCTGATTCTCTATACGATTGAAATGTAATTTTTTTTCCTAGAGATTATTGTAATATTTTGTTAAACGCGGTATTCTAATAAAGAGGGTATTTGAGAAGCCTAATAAGTACTTTTTAGAAGTACTTTTTTATAAATCGAAACAAATTCCTCTACATATTTACTTTGTATACCGTAAAAATATTTTTAAAACTGTAATTTTGATCTTATCCAACCATCTTCAAAATGCATAACATCACCATATCATCATCGGGGCAATATGATGACTTTCGCATATCGTGTCAATTGAGTTCACCAGACGCACGGGGGTCTATCTGTATGCTTCCCCAGTAATTAATGGTACTGTTGAGTCTTAATTGCACCATTTTGACTTCTTCGCCCCTTCAGTTCTCGTCTCAATCATCAATTATTAACTTGGGACACACTTGTTTGGCTCAGCCATTTATGGTTTAACCATACGCTTGCACTAATGCGTAAAAATACATATGCAAGTGCAACACTTAATTTTATTTTTTTTTTACGTTTGTAGTGTTTACAAAATATTAACCTCTTTGTTATTATAAACTTCAAACAACTAATTTATAAATAATAAATAATTAATTAAAAATAATAAATAGGTTAAAATATATATTTTTTGTTTGTAAAGATGCCCTTATAATAAATAAAAAATGATAAAAATACATAGGAAAATGTGATAAAAGAGAAATAATTAAGAGTAACATTAGAAAAGATGCATTAAATATTAAGATAAATTCAAATTGAAACTTATAAAATAGATCATATTCCTTACCAAATTTGGAACTTATAAATAGGATTGGAGGGAGTACATGCTGATTTGAAAAAATAAATTATAAATTTTTTTCCAAGTTTGTAGAACTATAGAAGCGTGATAGTTTTTTTTTTTTTTTAAGGCTAAAATATACAATTGTTCCTTTAACTTTGTACAAGGTTTTCATTTAATCTTTTAACTTTAAAAAGCATATATTTGGCCATTTAATTCTAAAATCATTAGGCTTTAATAATGATTTTTTGTAATAAATCATGAATATTTTGAAAAATTAAACTTAATATGTTAGTATTTGAGAATATTTTATCAACATTTAAGATTTTAATGTCATCATTTTTTTAAAAAAATTAGGATTAAAGAACTAAAAGTATACTACCTCCAGTTCAAAATATAGGCTAAACTTTATCCATTTACGTTTATCAAGAAACTAATTAAAATTAGTTTAAATCAATAAATATGTAAGTCATGTATTTTTTTTCCCAGATCTGCCTTTATTAACAAAGAGAGTAAGTAAAAGATGTAATAAATGAATCAAAGAGGAAAGAAAATGTACGAGGATAAAATGTTTAGACAAAAGTGAACATTTATTAAAAAAAAACTAAGTCTCTCTAACAAAGTTTAATTTATATTTTGAACCGAAGGGAGTGCTTTTTAAAATTAAAGGATCAAATTAAAACTTTATACAAAGTTAAATAACCAAATGTATATTTTAATTTTTTAAATTAAAAAAGCAAATAAGTAAACCGCCACGCTTTACGGAGAGCCACGGATCACATTCACAAAAGAAAAAATTCTTCATTTGATGTAATGGGTTTTTTAAGATATTTTTTCAATATGCAGTTTTTCAAAATCAAATCTATAGCAATTTTACCTGTAAATTTCTCGTATCACCAGAAAAATTCAAAAAATATTTACATAACACCAAACATATTCACAATTAACAATTTAACATGATCCTGATTATTTTTATAAGATTAAAATAAAAAAAATCAGTCTTTGTTTTTAATCTCTGTTGTTAACAGGGTGTTTGGTTTACCAAAAAAAATTTTTTAAAAATATTTCTACGCAAGTCGAGATAAAATTTTAATTACATATTTATTTTACATATTATAAAATTATTTTTAAAATTATAACTTGATTTCTGTCCAAATATCCCGTGCGCGGTCCGATTCAGTCCATCAACATGTTTGAAATGCATTCTTGAAAGCTGAAATGATCTTGTGGTGTTTATAACGGCTGCGATGGTCACTTTTAGGCCCTTCCGTGCGGTTTAGGGTTGATTCATTGATGTGAGAAACAAGTCTTTGTCAATTCATTTAATATTCCTCCGGTCCTTATTATAAGACCCCATTTGACTTTTTATTTGGTCCTAATTATAAGACCCCAATCCATTTTGTCTCTTATATTTATGTATTTTTTTTCAAGATAATCCTTCTAATAATGATAGTTTTAGCCAATATACTTAATTAGCAATGATGTTTTAGGAATGACAACACTTATTTATTATAAATAACCAACTTAACTTACTTCCTTAATCTCCTCAAATAAGTCAATTGGGTCTTATAATTAGGACTGGAGGAGTATCATATATACTTAGCCTCAATTCGTTTTAAAATTAAAGTATGTAAAGAATTAAATTATGTTTAAAAAAACATCTGAGTATGTGATGCGTTATCTAATCGTAAATTATGCCTTCTTAGAGCCGGGGAAGAATATATAATGCTTGAAGAATGCATATTCAAAACGCCAATATTTTATTTAACTATCTGAAATTTTGAATTGGATTTTTCCCCTTTTTTCAAAAATAAAAGGGGCAATAGCATGATACCAAAAGCGGGTGGACCGTGATGTGGAGATCACGCATAGCTGAATCCAAGAAGTTGAAAGCAGTTGAGAAACTTGTCCATGTCTCTCCTATATCACTTTGGGCTGGGTTGCGGGCCGCATAGGAACATCTTTCAGGAGTCTCTGGTTCACGAGTCCAAGCGTTTGCATTTTTGTATGGATTGAAGATAGGCGATCCCAATTTAATACAGGCAGTGTTTGGCTAACACCAAAATTATTTTTGAAAAGTATTTTTTTTTAACAAATCAAAATAAACTTCTCCACGTGTTTACTTCATATATTATGAAATTATTTTTAAAATTATGGTTTTTCTTCTACCCAAACACTCTCATAAAATATAAGCAACCATATAAAATAGTTTATAAGTATTTTTTAATCATAATTTATAAAATATGAGATAAATATATTAGAAGAGTTCTGTCTCAACTTATATGAAATGTACTTATAAGTGTTAGTGAATACTATCTCAAATAAGCCCTAAAAGTTACTTAATTTCAATACATTAAAAAGTTTAAATAAATTATTCTTTTTGGTTTGAGTTACAAAGGAAAATTGAGGATAAATTCCTCATTGAAAATTTAATTAGTAAATGGGACCTAAGAATTTTGTGCAATTTAACTTCATTTGTATGCAATTTATCTTCCTTTGTGCGATGTGCAATTCAATTTCCCTTGTGTCCAGATGAAATTCTTTTATATGCAAGTCATCTTCCCTATGTGCAAACTAATTCCTTATATTTAAATAATATTCTGTGCAAACCATCTTTCCTCCGTGTAACTAGCCTTTTTGTATGTGTAACTAATCTTCTCTTGTGCAATCAATTATCGTAGATCCCATTTGCCAATTAAAATTTCAATGAGAGATTTACCTAATTTTTTCCAAGTTACAAAGGCTAGCCCAAGCTTGAAAGAATAGGCTAGGACTAACCTCTAATAAAGACAGTATTAACACTTAGCATAAAGACAGCTTGTCCTTTAAGAAAAAATAAATTTTACTACATATAGTCCTTGATATAACAATTAGAAAATTAATATGAGAATATTTTAAAAAATTATATAAGTTGGTTATTTTGTCCAAATGTGCATTGATCTCCCTAAACTATTATAATCATGTGCATTGGATTGATAATTAGAATTACCTATTAGTAGAAACCCTTTGTAATCAATAGAGATATTTTCAAAAAAGATGAGAGACAAAGTGGTATTAAGGTCTTATATTTAAAACCAAATCTAATTCCCAAATAACTCTTATATTAATGACCAAAAGTAGTAGTTAATTATACCACCTCTGATCCTTAATATAAGATTTTATTTAATTTTTATTTTGATCCTAAATATAAGACCCCAATCCGTTTTGTCTCTAATATTTATGTATTTTTTTTTCAAGATAGTCCTTCTAATAATGATAGTTCTAACCAATATACTTGATTAGCAAGGATATTTTAGGAAAGACAATACTTATTTATTACAAATAACTAACTTAATTTTTTTTCTTGATCTTCTCAAATTAGTCAACTAGCTCTTATAATTAGAACGGGAGGTAATAGTAAATGTTACATGATCCTACATATGTATAACATTAAATAATATATACTACTCTATGAGTAAGGTAAATTAGATTTAAGACTAAATCCAGCCTCTAATTCAATTCTTATATCGGGAATAGGAATGAATACGTTTTTGGTTTCCTGATATTCATTTGGATGCAGGGTTGATTATTTGCTGTAGAATCCTCAATGTGAGAACCAAAAACAGTGTTAAACAAAACCAGATTAGAAAAGAGCATGGCTCGCAGCAGCGCATGAACCCTTACCCTGCTTCATGCGCTGAACAAGTTATGACTTGTTATTTGCTATATAGTGTGTAACTTTATGAGTACTTTGTCCAGATTAAGTGATCACATATATGAACCACATGTGTCTCGTTACTTTTTTCGTTCATCATGGCCGTTCCAAATCTAAAACTTTTTGAAGCCGGCGGATTTGGGAGACATGCCCCCCTGTGTCCACATGTGATTCAATTATCAGGTTTGGTAGCCTTCATCAAATGAGATGAGATTTATTCATATAAAAAAAAACTACAAAACAAATAAAATAAATGATAATGCTCGTAATTTATAATTAACTAGATGATGTAAAACAAACTAGTCATTTAACCTGTCATGATTAAAATAATTTAATTTAATTAAAATATGTAATCTTCAAAATAGTAAATTTAAATAGAATATATTAATTTATAAGTAAATAAAATATTCATGTATGAATCACATATGTTCCAACAAAACGAAGCAACTAAAACACAAATTTAATGAATTGCTATTTTTGTTTAATTCAAAACAACATTGTTTCATGCTACTCCTCCGGTCCTTATTATAAGACCCAATTTGACTTTTTATTTGGTCCTAATTATAAGACTCAATCCATTTTGTCTCTTATATTTATGCATTTTTTTCCAACATAATCCTTATAATAATGATAGTTTTAGCCAATATACTTAATTAGCAAGGATATTTTAAGAATGACAACACTTATTTATTATAAATAACCAACTTAACTTACTTCCTTAATCTCCTCAAATAAGTCAATTGGGTCTTATAATTAGGACCGGAGGAGTATATAATTCAATTCAATAGTCTGATAAAAAAACTCTTAATGGAATCAATTAAGGAATTAGTTCATTACTTTACTGGGCTAACTAAACAATCCGGTTTAAATTTTAATAATATCTCTTGCTATCTTGTTGCCCCAAAAAATCATCATAAATGTTAAATTGGACTATATATTTTTGTTATACATTTCCCTAATTTTAGGAATATGAGTTGATGGGTTATTGGGTTTTTAATTTTCTCAAAGGAAATAGAAAAAGAAATCACCCATCAAGCAGTGGAACCTACGGATCCAAAACTGGGAGAGGGGGACAATATGATGAAAACCACGTGGCCGCGTATGGTGTGAGTAATAATAACGGTAATACCATGCCAGTCCCACGCCACCAACACGGAAATCTGATTCTGAGCGCACACCGTGAACGGCACTCAGTCAATCTTTTGTGATCTCATCAACGGCTCACAGCGCTCTTCATTTCGTTCTGGTGGGCCCTTCTCGATTTCCTGATTTTCTCCCCTTTCTCTTTATTTATTTATACCTCTCCCTTCCTCAATCCCCTTCGCTGCAAACCAAATCTGATTCAGCGCAAGATTACAGTATCAGTCCAATCCCACAGGTGTCTTAGTCCAAAATGTCGTGGCAGACGTACGTCGATGACCATCTCATGTGCGATATCGACGGCCACAACCTCACCGCTGCCGCCATCGTCGGCCTCGATGGGAGCGTCTGGGCTCAGAGCGCTTCCTTCCCTCAGGTTCTTTCTCTCTCTCTCCCCCCTTCGCTTAATCTCATTAGATCTGCTTCCTTTTGGTTCTGTTTGGTCTTGCTAAGTGCGTCACTGCTTCTTGATCTGTTTGGCTGCCTAGTGGCTACTTGATTGGCTTCAGATTTAAGAGAAAAATGTGGTTTTTGTAGTCATTTCTAATTTTTTATTCTTGGGGTTTCAATTTCTCCTAGAATGCTGATATTTTTATTGCCTTTATTGTGTGTATAATGGAGGACCTGTTGCAATTGTTTCCCGTTCCCTAATATTGTGTTTCGTCGAAGGAAAAAATCGGTGTTGTTTGCTTGTATGTACTGACATTTACATATCCGTCAAACCCCACCAAGACAAAAATGCAGTTGAAATTGTGTTGGCCCGCTTTGATCTTTCACTGGTATTCTGATGATGGAGTGAATACTCAGTCAAAACAAGTTTCTAGGTAGCGATAAATATCACAATGCTGATTTTGTGCCTGAGAGAAAAGGAAGGAAAAAGACTTCGACGGCTGGTATTTGACTTAAGATTTAGGAATATATGCATGGTAAAGAGTGAAATAGAAGGGGACAGGTGAATTGAGGGATAAGGACCATGCAAGGATGCTGTCATTTCCAGCTTCCGCATCATTTGCTTGTACTTTATCTATTCACTTTTACCAAGTTGGAGAAGTAATTCAGCCATTATACACCTCTGGCCTTTGCCATTGCTTTCTATTCTAAATGAAGCTGCAATAATGATATGATGTTCATTGAAGCTTTTTTTCTTATGCAGTTTACACCTCAAGAAATTGCTGCCATCACTAAAGACTTTGATGAACCTGGCTCTCTTGCCCCTACTGGATTACACCTGGGCGGTGTGAAGTACATGGTCATCCAAGGAGAGGCCGGGGCTGTCATTCGTGGGAAGAAGGTGCTTCAGGCTTTCTTCTCTTCAATATGTTTTACTTTTATTCGTTCAATAGGACTAATGTAGCATAAGAATCCCTTCTTTACTCTTAGGCACCTATTCTGGATTATTATTATTATCTCATCATATGATTTTAGCTATATCTTTCCATTTAGGTTACAATACAATTTATATCATGTGAGCATTCTCGCACTGGGTCTGCCTTGAAAGAATCACGATGAAGTTCAATGCATTTATATAGTATTCATTTTCGCGCGTGTTCCAAACTATTTCATTGTTGTTTATTAGTGGTGTAGCAAATAGGCACTGAGACAGATTAGTTCTGGTTTTGGCAATTAATCAGTAATGCATCTTCGAACTTGCAGGGTGCTGGCGGGATCACTGTTAAGAAAACCGGGCAAGCTCTGATATTTGGCATCTATGATGAACCTTTGACTCCAGGACAGTGTAACATGATTGTTGAGAGGTTGGGAGACTATCTGATTGATCAGGGGCTGTAGATCATTTCTCAACCGCACATTTTTTGCACATTTTTCATTTGATTTTGGGATTGCATCTATCTTCCTTTTTCCTATGTTCCTGAAATGATATTGGAGTTGTTTGTCAAAAAATAACCAAACAAGGAAAGCAAAGAAATTAGTCTTATTTTAATTGCTATAGTTTTTCTCTCTTTTCAATGGGATTATCTTGATTTTGCTGTATTTATTTATTTTGGTGAATGATTTACTTAGATGGATTGTTTTTCAATATCATCTGGTATGTGATAAATTTGGTTGGTTGGTTGTTGTTCTACTTCCAATTACACGTAGTCGTAAATTGGTTTTGTGATGGGAATGGGCAAGGCCCTTAGCTTTTATTTTGTGTTTATTGTTGCCATTTTTTTTAGTATACAAGTAATTGAATATTAAAATTCAAGGGCCGATGGTGATATTGTGTTTTTCACGAATGTGATTGGCAAATGTGAATCGTGTGATCACAACCAAAAAAAAAAAAAGAGCAACTTAATATACAAGTTATTTGAGGGCATGAGATTCGAATTGCGTGATTGGATGTTTCGTCGGATATGTATTGATCCATATTCGTAGCAGACATTCTTCCTAATCCTACATGAGAGGGTTTGAGACAAGTTACCCTGTTCACTCTCTCATCCCTTTCTAAAATTCACGTAACATCTCGTCAAGGTTAAGCTCCAGCTTGAGTAGTGGAATTATGGATTCACGGCTTATCTCAATATCGTTGAAATGAGATTGAAAGTTGAAAGAGTTCAAATTTTATTTGGACATGGTAAATTTGTTTTTAACGAAGCACAATCCTAAGTATTATTAGGAATTCCCCGACCAGCCTTCATACCATAAATGTCAAGTATAAACAAGCTCTCAGTTTTGATCCCCTCCTTCCACCGTGGATTTTTCCCCCACTCAAGTCTGAGATTAAAATTCCTTAAAGGGTTCTTTGGATTTAACAAATAAAAGAACACGAAATAGCGCAAGCAGAGAAACAATTCAAGAAAGTCATTAGTTATCCGTGCATGATTGGCACAAACTAATGGAATACATGAGGTTATCAAACACTTCACTCACTGTATACAACGTTTGAAGTGGTGTTGGTAGTGCTGTCATGTTCATCGAGAGCGAGTATCTTCAATCCCTGCGAGAAATAGCAGCTCAACAATTTCAGCAGAGTACAAGAAGTTCTTCTCATCAACCCTCCCACATCGAGGGTAAAAAATTTGTAATAATTAGTTCAACCACATCACAAGTATAATCATGGTTAAAGCAGCACACACATTGCTGATTCAACGGACTTGGCACATCTGGGGGCAGAATGCTCCGATTAGAAGCGTACTCTGTTACACATTCCAAAAGTGCAACAACCACCACCTTTATTAGTGTCTTTGTCCACCCGTTGACGCAAAAGAAAACTTCATGTTAAATATTAACACCCCTATCCTTAATATAAAAGCTAATAGACTAATTTGAGTAGATTAAAAAAATTAATCAAGTTATTTATTTGTAATAAATAGCTGTTGTCTTTTCTAAAATATCTTTGTTAATTAAGTATATTGGCTAAAACTACCATTATTATGAGAACTACTTTGAAGAAAAAATAGATAAGTATGATAGACAAAGTAGATTGTCGTCTTATATTTAAAATCAGAATAAAAGTCAAACGAGTTCTTATATTAAAAACCAAAGACAGTGTAATGCTTTTACAAATATTTGTTGTCCCACGACGATCCCTAGTATTGAAAAGTGATTCCAACACATTTGCAGGCTCCTTTGGCGTAGGAAGCTCTGCTTTTCGATGAAGACAACATGAGCCAAATGTTGGGTTGCATGTTAAGAAGTCTTTCCTCAGCCTTGCATCAAACCAAAACTTCGCATTATACATTTTGATCCCTAAGATCGGTGATAGTCTACATAGAGAGAGTGACAATGGAAGAGGAATGCGAAGGAAAATAGAGATACACTCTGTCTATATCAATTTATGAAACCTAAATAAGTTTAGCTTCTTCTGATGATGATATGGATGCTGCGTGTGCACTTGTAAACAAAAGCTAGTGGAGTGAGAAATCAAATTTGTGCTGCAATACTTATTAATCTTTGCGTGAAAGATGAATGGGCATGGCACTTCCTCCCGACGGCGTCGTTTCATTAGGCTGATCCCTCTCTTTTACTTTTGGGCCACTGGAATATTCCTCTGAAACCTTATCCTTTGTTGGGTTAAGGGTACAACGTATTAATGGGCTCATAGTTGCAGGACAATTAAAATAGGTCACGAAATACCCGATGAGCGATGGCTTATAATGTCACAATCAAATAAATAACAAATTATTAAAATTTAAGACTGAAGAATCTTTATAATTCTGATAACTTTGTAACCTGTACTTAAATGACAACGTGACTCGTGTACTTGCAGAAAACCCAAAATGAGACTCGCTATTTATTGTTTGCGAAAATTGTCGCTCCACACAAATTTTGATATGTTATATTATTTTTAGTTTTTAATACAAGATTTTGTTTAATTTTTATTTTAATATTAAATATAAGATTCGTATTTTTTTTTAAGATAGTCTTTTTTTTTTTTTTTATGTCAAAGGGAACAGGAACTACTACATATAAGCATCCACTAAAACAGGATTCTGGTGAGGTTCTCGTTTGAGAATGTCTAGTATGGGATCTGGGGGAATACAAAACGGAGCAAAATCAATCCCCATATTATGTGTTTGTGCAGTCAAAACATCAGTCTTTCTAGTAATGATAGTTCTAACTAATATATTTGATTAGCAAGGATATTTTATAAAAAAAATAACACCTGTTTATTACAAATAACTAACTTTTTTTTTTTCTTAATCTCCTTATATTAATTAATTAGGACCGGAGGTAGTATATTTTTATGTTGATGAATTACATAAAAATGGAAGTTCATACGTTTAATTTCTCGACTAAAATGAATTTGTAATTAGAGTTTAATTCACGGTATATATATATATATATATATATAAAAACCTGAATCTCAGATCTTCTCCTTAAGCAACCATAAGTCCTTTCATTAATACCAAATTATCTCTAATTTTTGGGCTTCTAGGGGGAAAAAAACTATTTAATATTCCTCTGGAAAACTACTAGTAGTAAAACAGCTGTTCCTGCAGCTATTTAGAATCAGCAATGTTCTTAGAAACATGGCCAAACACTTCAAAATTTCAAATCAAAGTATTCTTCTGTCTTAAGTTTTTAAAACTTCTGCAGAATGGCTTTAATTATTATGTTTCACTTCACATGGCGCAAATTCAAGTTTTCGTAGTTCAAAATCTGAAACATTCAATGTGCCGTGTATGATAATGATCCATACTCGTGGCTCAGGGCTCATCATCATCATCGTTATTGTCATTATGTATGCATGCAAATGAATAAATCTGCAGAAGTTTTCAAATTTTGTTGGCAGCGTTCTGCTTCCTATTCAATAATTTCCTGAGTTCTTGTTTCCCAGCTACCAAACATGCATTATCCCCTTTTTTACACCAACTTGAAATATCCATAATTTTATCCTCTCTTTTTTACCCACCCACTTGCCCAGTAACTTCCTTTTGCTGCTAAAAGACATAACATGCAATCAAATTCCTTCAAAACTTAACAAAGTACAAATACGTGAGTACAGTACATAGTAATATACTTTTTACTTTGGGCTGAAAATAGATAAAGTACATTGGGGAATCTTTTTCTTTTCTTTTCTTTTTTTTACCCCACTGTTCCAAATGTTATCTTGGTCAAATTAATGAATCTCGAAAAGGCAGAAGTTTTGGATAATGTCACATGAAGAAAAAGATTAAAGAGGGAAAAGGGTCTGCAAATCTTATCTTTTTTACCTTTTTTTTTATTTTTTTGTTTAGTTTTCTGGAGATGATTAAAGTAGATTTAGTACTAACTTCAAAGGCCTTTCCAGCAAGCTCAAACCCCAATTTAATGGGTCCACGCAAGCTGTTTAGATTCAAAATCGACACTTTATCAGAGGTGAAAAGAAGTAAGTTTTGAAGTTCGTAAACTATGCCCTTTTCTCTTTCATTTGTGTCCTAGGGGATGAACCTCACTTATGGAATGTCTGAATTCTATAAAATTTTAAGAAAAATATTAATATTTCAAAACTCATAACATTTGATCCTCTCTTTTTTTATAACTCAAATATTCTTAACTCATCTAATTTTTATCAGGCAGAGAATATTAAAATTAAAACTCTCTCAATAAATATACTTCTTAAAATTTAAATAAAATTATTTATTATTTCAATTAACAACTTGTTAGTTTTAACACTCTCATTATCAAAACCACCTTGTATCTATGAATTACTTTTCAACAGCCAATAGCGACAACCCCTCTTACTCTACTTTATTAAAACTATGGGTTTTAGCCTGACATTAATATGGTTATATATGTGGATTTAAATTGTTCATAATTAAAAAAAATAGATTGGAATTCTTATAATGACTATTTTCAATACAATTGCATAATAATTGGTACTTAATGGGTTAAAGTTAAATTAACAAAACCTCATGCTAACTGAGGACGCTTGCTAATTTCATGATAAAAACCGTCAAAATTTTTGTAGAAGCAATGGTTTTGATGTAAAATCAAACACACTTGTCTGAGGAGCATAAAACATTGTTTCAAGTTAAACAAAGCACTCGCTAACCAATAACATAAAATATCAGTCTTTGAACCTTAATTAAGGGAACAAAACGGAGTTTGAAAAGCCTTTCCTTTCTCAATACGAGCTTCACTTTTATAAAAACTTCTTTTCATGACAACCTTTTGGATATAATCACTAGAAAGAGACATTCCAACTCATAAATTGACAAATATGACGAATCTGATGCTGCTCAAAAAGCATAAAAACTCTTTTTACATGGTGTTGGCAAGAAAAAAAGGAAGAAAGTTTTATTGGTAATGTTGTTAGAATATTCGGATTTGAGTAAAATGTGGGAAAGGCAAAGATTGAGACCTAATAATCCAAACAGATGCTTGCTGCTCTTCAAAATTCAAAAGCCACAAACATTGGAAGCTGGAGACAGTAATATTGTTTTGTTAGATTTGATTTGGATTAATTAATGAAGATTGATTCATAATGGTAATAAACTAACATTAGGGGTAACATGTTCCTAAGTTAAATAACAGATTAATATGTTTTGTTTATGTTTTCTGAAAAACTGAAACAAATGACGAAAGCAGCTGCGCAAGCCGCTCAATCAAACAGCAATTAGGGACACCATTTTCTTGAACAAAGTGCTTTCTGACAAGTCCCTTA